TGTCCAGTGCTCATGCCAACTCGTAGAAAACAAGGACTCGACAGAAGCAGCTAAAAGGAGTATTTGTAGCAGTTTATAATCTCCACAAGCTAGCCACTGAATTACTTATTTTCATAGTGAAGATTTGCATCACGTGTGTAAGTGCATAATGATATCCCACTACGTTTCGCACGAAAACAGGCTTTGCTTTGGCTCATCTTGTGACGAACATCGTCAGAACTGGTTGTCTGGTGGACTACATTGACCGTAAGGTCGTAGCAATGTTAAACGGCTGCAGTAAAACGCGAATTAACCGGCGTTTTCTAGTGAGATTGACCTACGAACCTCTTCATACGAGACTCTCATAGGAGATGAAAGTCTTCACAACAATCTTATCCCAGGAGATTCTCAGAAACTCGCATTTTTTTGGCATATACAGCTTTCTTATTTTCCTTTATAAGTAAGTTTACAGTCTCCTGACAGTCTTGAAACCTACTTATAAACGAAAATATCTAATGCATTCGATTGCCATGGCAAATTACACTTTTGTTCGCCGACACTTCAAATATGTCATGAGAAAGGCGTAGATTTCCTTTTATTTCCCCTCTGCTCTGTGAACTAAGGGCATTCGTGGCAATCTGGCGCGGTTTATACTGTTTCGAGACTATGCGCTGTTACCGCTTAATATGCTGTCGCGATCAAGGCGAAGTGGAATTTGCAGTTTTGTCATTTCTGGATGAGGATACCTTTTGACAGTCACTATCGTCCTGAATGCAACAGCGTGAACACATCTCATATATCTGACTTATTGATGGTATAGAAAAGCTTTTAAAAAATAAAAAAAAACTAGGTAGTCGATTGCTATAGCAAATATAACTTCGAGAATCCCGCTGCAAAATGTGAAATGGGAAAAAATGGCTGGGCTTCTTTGAAAGTCACATCTGCTCCGCAATCCATGGGCACTGGTGGTAATTTGGCGTTGTGTTTAACGTGTCGAGGTTATAACCTGCACTGCCATAAACCAGGTTCGAGTCTCGTCTGCGGGTGCCGATAAGACCAGTTCTGGCGATGTCAAAATTGCAGTCCGCTTAGGCATGAATGAGAATACCTTTTGGGACAACTTATATGGTATGACAATTTTACGGACTACTAATATTTAGGATTTTGAAGAAGTCCATTAGTCAACCTCAAATTTTTCTTGCAAACTGTTTGGTTTTCATAAAAATAATAAACTTATTCAGAGCAGTTGTCTACACTTTAGTTATTGACACTAAAAGGTAAATTGTTTACTCGAAGGTATGAAGACCAAGATGGTGTGGCCTTTTGTGTGGTCGCAGTCTCCTTT